CCCCCCCAAATTGGGGTGATTCTGGTGCTTTCGGTGATACCTTCTGGTATATTTTTTCCCCTGGGGGGAAAGGAGCTGGAGCCTTTTTCTCCCTCTCTTGCTGTCATGGTCCACCTCAGCCCCCCAGTGAGGAGCCAGCAGCTCCCAAAGCCATTGCTTGGCACCCATGACGATGACAACTGCCAGCCAAAATTGACTCTTTCATCATCTTCCTCTTTTCAAGTACTATCAGCACCAAGGGCAAAACACACCTTGGGGATCAGCCGGGTGTCCTCGTCAGCACAAGCACCATCAAGAGCAATGCTGCTACCAGCAAATCCAGGGTTATCCATGAAACACATCCCCCCAAAAAAGCATTTCCATGGATGGCAGTCCACCTAGAAACAGACCCAAGTGTGGCCCACTATGTCCACCCACCGCCCTGCATCCCACCCGTCACTCTGCTCCCCTGTGGAAAAGCAAACCCCCATCATGGAGTGTCTCTGCATTGTTCCATCCCATCCCCATAGAAATACACCTGCGAAGCGGATGCATCCCAAATGAGGGTTCTCCAGCTTCTATTTTCCCTGCTCTGGCCAAATAGGATGCTGCATCAGGATTTATCTACAAGCACAGGGAGGTGGAGCGAGGCTGAAATAACTGCTGCTAATCCCCTTCGTCCTCCCCTCCGAAGTATATTGTTGAAGGCATTATATAAACTGGAAATTATACAGAGGTTTGGACAGGAGACAAACCAAATCCCTGCCTCCCCTGCTCTGTTTTGCAATGCCTCCGAGACACCCAGTCTTGCAGCCAAGAAGGCTTTTGCAGATGGAGATGCGCTCCCAGCACCAGAAGAGACGAAATGTGTGGTCTGGAGGCTGGGAAGGGCTCAGTGATGCCACATTTCCACCCCCGCAACCCCTTTGAGTCGTAACATCCCTCCACTGGGAAATGTGTTTTTTCCCGACGTTCCCCAAGCCTCCTTGAAGTGGAGGGCTAAACCTCTGCGAAGCCAGCAGCCAAAATCTCTGCCGGGTGGTCTCCAGCAGGCAGTGCTTTGCTGTGGATACAGCCCAGCGCTGGAAAAACCTCCTTCCCTGCTCCAAACCTCCCTCGCCAGGGCTGGCAGGACCCTATTAATGATAGTTTTGCTTCTGGCTGATAGAAGCTCTAATTGCATTTCAAAGGATCGGCTCCAGGGCTGGCTTCTGTTGCAAACACACGTGTACCCCAGGTGTTAACCCTGCGAGACGGCAGGGGCGCAGCAAGAAGGGTCACCCCGAAAGGGCTCACAGTCAGCCCACTAGACAAGCACAGAGGCTCTGATGCAGTGTTTAGGGGGCAGGAACCCCATTTCTCAGCCAGCTGAGAGTGGAAACAAGCAGGGCACGCACCTTCCCTGGTCCAAATAGATTTGCAGACCCTAAAAACCCAATTTTCTACAATAACTCCATAGAGGGAACCACAGTGGTGGGTTATTGTCCCTGCACTTTGCTATGAGCCCGCCTGCCCTTGGCATTCACGGTGAATCCAGTCCCAAAAGCGCTGAAAACAAGCCTGTGATTGACGGTTTATTTTAGGAAGGAGACGGGAAAAGTGGGAAGGAGATAATGCTGGGGAGAGATAATGTGAGCGCCAGTCATTAGTTAAAAACAAGCCCATCAGTACTCCAAGTGCCTCGGCAGAAAGCAAACAAAAGGGCAAAGAGAGCAGCTTGGCAAGGGAACAAAACCAGCCACATCAGCTGCATCCTCCCCGCTCGGCTCTTTGCAGCGGGATTTACGAGCGGGGAAGTTTGCAAGGCGAGAGCTGCACCTCCTGCCTCTGAAAAACAGGGGGTTGGGGGCTCCTTCCCTTGATTTTCCTCTTCGCCGATGTCTGAGCAGAGACTGACTTGGCATCAATTAAATCAAAGTTTTCTCTTAGAAAATAGGGGGAAAAAAAACCCCAAAACCCTGAGAAAATCCCATCACCGGTGGGTCCCAATGGGGTGATGCTTCATCCTCCCTGTGCGTGGTCCCGGGCAGGTCCTGGTCAGCTCCATCCTTGCCAGGGTGAGGTTTTGGCTCCATTCCCACCTCTCTGGAAGGCTTTTCCCTCGGCAAGTGCTGCAGGAGCCTTAGCTTGATCCTTGCCCCTGTTTCAGCCTCATTCCCAAACCATTAGCACATCTGGATTAAATAAAACCTGCTCTCATCCCGACACTGCGGAGAGCTTTTCATCAACAGATCTTAAACCACTTGTCGAAGTGCCGGTCAAGCATTCCCAGTCAAAGATTTTCTGACAGAAAAGACCATTTCTGCAATGACAACCAGGAAAAAAAAAAAAAGGCAGGTGGGGCACGTGAAGCCCGAAACGTCTCCATGGGAAGGGGAAGCTTGCGAGAGTGTGGTTCACGTCATGTCTGAATGCTCCATAAAAACCCATCGATGCAGGAGCTGAGCTGCATTTCAATGTTGCTTGAGCCTGGACACCACGCCGGGGTAGACCTTGCCTGGAAGTGCTTGGAGGCATCAGAGAAGCCACAGGGCATATACAAGGGCTGTGATGTATATAGCATGTTGCATATAGCATTAGGCACCTTGCATTTAGCATGCTGCATACAGACGGGGCTGCTTAGCTCAAGAAGCAAACCCAGGACCTGTAACACAAGTCCTTATTTCAGCAGAGAGGGGAGCAACATCCCCAACCCAACTCCTACAGCATCCCTGGGCTTTTTTGGGGGGGTGTGCTAATAATACCGAGGGATTACTTGTTGCAGCAAGGGAATCTGGGAAGCAAGTACCCCAAACCTGAGCTCTGACATATAGGGGAGCTTTGGAAATGCTCATGAACCAGCCACAATTTAATTCGTGAGGGTTTCCACAGAGAAATGAAGCCCAGGATATCTCCTCACTGCGAAGATGCTTATTAGCTGGGAAAAGTACAAGGCAAAGGGAAGATCCTTGCCTGTGTTAAAAGCTTTTTTAAAGAGCTCTGGATTCAAACTGGCAGCTCTAAACCTCTACAAAACGCAGCTGGTGGGAAGAGAAAAATTGGGCTAATTGGGTAAGGGCAATTAGCACTGTTAGGAGGATTTTCAGAAGGGGCTTCGGCCGCCTGCATGGCCTGGATTTACCCAGAGAGCAAAGCACATGCCTCATGGAAACACAGAATTCATGGAAATAGTAGGAAAGGATTAAAAAAGGAGGTGACCCTAAGCTGAATGCAAGATTTGTTGGGGGAAAAGCGTGAGTAGGGAAGGCTGGGGGTAAGTGTGGAACAGCTTTCCGTGTCGGTGCTGTGCATTTGCAGGTGAATTAGAAAAAGATTTCGCTCCCACATGGTGCAGAGGATGCTCCTCCTTTCCTCTCACCCCCCCCC